AAGTTTATTCTGACCCAGGCCCAATCATAATTGTGACATTTATTATTGTTATTCAACAACTTATATATTTTTTTTTTATTTCAGCAACACGCACAACAAGTCCTTTGCAGGCTTCGCCTCCATCTCAACAAAGATCTCTGTTAAAATTTGTCTAATGACACACGGCCTATTGTTGCGGTGCTAGACTGCTTACATTATATTCATGAGAAGTGGTCACTGCGCCAGCTACATCTACAACCTGCAGACCACACCAGACAGACCACAGTAGGCCTATTCGCCAACTGCTTTTGACAGATGGAAGTAATAATCACTGAGCTATTTAGTGATCCACTACTACTGCTTTATATAACACCACTCAGATACTTGTTCAGAAAAGCATCGATTAATATTCAATTTTCTCTTTATTTATATACAAAAAAAAACATAAAAATTGGCAAATAGGCTGACGAGCATCTCTGACAAAAATGTGACAATGTAATGTACAGTTTCAAAGGCATCTGTCATAATTTATGAATAAAAATGTTACATATTTATTTTAATGAGTTTTACTATAAATAATCACCCTTTTATTAATTTATCTTCATTTTCATTGCAATGGGGGTTTACGCAACTCGCCGGTCTATATTATATATCATTCAGAATTAAGTAGGTATGTATATTAAATATAGGAACTACACAGAAACTAATTCTTAAATAGTTAGTTTTTATGTAGAACATTTAAAACGTTCAATCTAAATAAAGAGGAGCCCGGAGACGCAGGTGCTTAGAGTATTCGTCCTGCAATCATGAAAGTTAGGCAACTTTTGGTAATTGTATGGGTGACCAAAAACTTATTATCTCGATCTTCTCCGTGTTTCAGATGACACATCAATCTATTGGTCCCAGCTGCATCAGCAGTCCTTAGCACTGATCAGTCCGCACTAGGTCCTACTACTAGGTGGGTCATGGCCAGTCTCCCTATTCCATCTGCCTCAACAGTGGGGGCAGGAAGTGGAGGCTGATGATGAAATAGTTCAATAAAATCATTACTTTTGTAGTTTACTGTGGTGAAGGGTTAAAAATATGAGTGACTATTTTTTAAATCAAAATATATTTATTCAATTAACATTAACTACATTTAATGTTTACACTACACCGTTGCTTTATGCTTTTTACTAAAGGTTCTTTTGGCCTTATTATGGTGATAAAGGTACAGTCTTTACTACCAACAGCTGCAGGCATTTTAAATTTCTCCAAAAATCTGTAACAAAAGTAAAGTTTATTAAAATAACTCCAAAAAAATATACCTAGTAGTTTTTTTAAAGGTAAATTGGTCTAAACCAAAGTTAAATGTCGTTTATTGACTCTCGTTCCTTCCGGTTGACTGGTAGAGAATGCTATGCTGGCATTAAGACCGCCATATGTAATGTAAAGGCATTAAAAAATAATTAAATAAAAAGTGGTCCTGAATAGCTCTGTTTACTACTTAAGTATTAGATAATTTAAATAAACTACAAATAGAAATTTTATTACCCACATAAAATATTCTAAAATAATTAAAGTAAAGGATTGCAAAAACTAAGAAACACTGTTCTACTTGAATTATATGTAATATTTATACCGAGGGTTCTACTTTATTATATCTTTTGTACACCTATTTGCCCAAGTATTTGTTTAATTGTAGTGAATTAAAGTTTACTTACCAATTCTTTATCACTTGGCATTGTGATGCATTTTGTTATGTCTGGATGACATAAAATCTTAAAAAGGTGGCAATTTCATTTACAAGTCTTGATATTGATGGTTGGGATAAATGTGTGTAATTTTTTGCCCTATTATCCTTAGTAACTCCCATTTGCACAAATGAAAGTGTACACAGTATCTGAAACAAAAAAAAAAATTATTCTTATATAATTGTTATAAAAAGTTTCTTGGTTGGGTTTTATTTTTGTTATGCAATTAGGTACTTTACCTTCATTCTATTGGATAATCCTTTTCCATTACACTTGGTTTCTTCTAAATGAATACTTTAAATCATTTTCCAATTGTTGAAAAAATCTTTATTTAGTCACATATTCATCTTCACATGAAATTACTCAAGGTTACACAGAAATTGGGCTTGTAGGCGGCTTCTGGCCAAATCTACATCATACATGGGCTTTCTATAGCAAAAAGCAAGTAATAGAGTGAGTCATCTGAAATACTAGATAGACATAATTTTAAAGAATTATTACTTAAATAAACAAAAGCAACGTAATTATAAATAATTTAATAATTACTCTTGTTTTATGATGATAATAGTCTATAAAAATACTCACTTCGTACAATCACTTCTATTACCGCAGCTAATGAGTAACTTTTATTTTGACAGTTACTTTCGAGTGCGGTTTTTAATGTGAGGTGTAAACAAGCGCTGAAATTCGTTACAGAATGCCATTGAAACGTCAAAGACATTTAGGTATGTTACGGTCTCACCTGTGATAGTTTACTAAACCGCCACTCTCACTTAGTAGCGCTAGTGTCGATTTCCACTCGATTACAGAGATGCGCATAGAGTAAGCCCTGATTCGTCCATGTCACCAAACTTTAAAAATAAGACTATTTTAAGTTTACATTCATTAAAACTTTAAACTTGAGCCTCATATCTACAAATATATCTAAAGAATAAATTTACGTGCTTTTTTTCACGCATAATAACTAAGTCGATATATCTCGATTTACCAAAAACTTTTAAAATGGTAACACTACAAATTACTTAGGATATAAATGACATCTCGCTTCACTTGCTTGTACAATTGGTTACAGAATGCGAAAATTCCGTGAAGCGAAACCTAGAGAACGAAAGCAAAACGGATCCGACACACACAGTGAGATGAGATTATGGGTTTTACAGAATTGCACTACAGATAACGAATAGTGTATTCTATCTCTTTTATTCAGGCAAATTTTAATGCGTTATTCATTGACAATATATAACTACAGCTTTATTCTGTGAGAATACGAGTGAAAGATTGATACAAACAAACTTGTGCTCTTTGTACTATGTAATTGAAGCGAAAAATTCGCAATATTTTTTTCGAAAATTCCTTATTGGACAGATACAACTGAACATCTCGAAACCGTAATACGTATGGCAAATACCTAAGCTTGAATGAGTTTAAAATGATTTCCTTATCAGAAATACAATCTATACTATTTAGTGTAGTTAAATAAAGCTCTACTTTACATTTGTCTATGCGTATAATATGTGCGCTAGCGCTAGCTCCTACGCTAACCTGAATTTACGCATTAAAAATAGCTGTTCTCATTATCAATCAAAATTCTTCACGCTGCATTTGTATGATAAAAGCCCGATAGCAAGCCATAAAGTTTATATCGAAGCGAAGCGAGTAAAGTTAACGTAAGTAATTTTACTTTAATACACAATTTAAAACTCGCTCAGAAAGTAGAGCTGTATTTGTTATTTAAGAGAAATGTTTTAAGTTAATTTAAATTATCAATAACGATTCTTTTGTTTTAGATGGCTTCCCTTCCAACCTTAGAGCAACGCCACTGTCGATTTTCCCCCGCTGTTGAACCAGCTTCAAAACAAAACTAAGTTGCGCTCGGATATTTTCCAAACCCGATGACGCTGTAAAGGTCATACGGGACCAACAGCATACATGCTAAAAAAAACGACGGGTTGCACTCCGGGAGTGCCGGCAGAAGTGAAAACTTAAATATTAACGTTGTGCATTTTTGATATTTTGGAATGGTTAGGGAATAATTTTGCACGAATTGCTTTAATTATCAGTATAAAAGTTCTATCATTTATGTGGTAGAATACAATATTTATTTATTGCGCTATCGTACACAAACATGACAATTTATATTACATTAAAAAGTTTATCTCTTAGAAAAATCAACTTACATGAATCACATTTAAGCGCACCTAGCGACATTTATTGTAAAAATATGCATTTTCTTCGCAATAAAGCTGCCACGTGGACGTCCTAGATAGAGACTTATTATTATAATACGATAAAATAAAATATTACTATGTTTCGTCCATTAAATTGAACCTTTTCAATTTTATTGTTTTCGTCTTACGAATTTTCGACTAGGTCACGTGTCCCGACGCGAGTTTAAAAGGGTAAATTTTTACCCATTACAAAAAAAGTGTACAACGCCGCTAAAGAAGTTTTAATTTAAAAAAAAAACGGATGTTTCAGTAGACTGAGTCAACTCGCGCGATGTAATTTGCTGTCAAACATATCTAGAATATTAAACTTACAAAATAATGGTGTTAAATTTCACATATAAGTAGAATTATTAGCATATTATTTCTATTGAACCAGTTTTAAACACAAATTTCATATTATTTTGTTAAAATTCAACCGTCGGACTTGATTGACAAAATAATCGACTCGCCAGTACAAATTTAAGATCTGTCAATAAAAAAATCTTAAGTTTCATTTTTTTATGTGTGTGTCGTAAATACAATTAATTATTATTTCGTTTTTGCGAAAGTATGTTGGACTGCATTTGTGTGCATATTCCTCCCTTCGCAAAAACCGGCAGAATTGCGGCAGAATGATTTCAGTAGTATTATTTATTATGGTTACTCCTATTAAGCCGCGTCGGCTATGTTGCTCTATGCTTCCAACACATGTTCAAAAGACTAAAATTTATTTGACTTAAAACGGATTTTGTAAAATCTTAAATAGTCTTACCACAAAGAGTTAGTACGTCGTTAAACAGGGGTTAAAAAATAAATTTTCATACAGATTTTCCAAAAATTTGACTTTTATAGAACGTTTGACTAATGAACTATAACCATTAGATAATGGTACATTTAGGCCATAATTTATCTTTAGTATTAAATATATATATATTTTTGCGTCTGTCCGTGTGTAAGCATGTAATTGAACTCTTCCTATACGTCTGTGGGGTCCGCTAGTAATCTATTAAGAAAGCTTTTCAAAATAGTCGAGTCAATAAACTATGACGGCCTCTGGTGGTATCAAGTGATAAAGACATACCTGTCCCAAGTCGATGGTAAGGTTGACTTCGTTGTACTTCATGCCCCTGGAGAGCGGGGGGCTCTGCCACCAGGTCTCCATGCCGTCCACCGCGTACTCCGGGGGGTGCTTCTTGGCGTCATTGTTCGCGTCACAGAAGTCACACACCTGGGAAGGACGAAGGATAGTTGATTTTGATGAACAGTTTTATGTCAATCAGTTTAAGTTAAGTAAGTTCGACCATATAAGCGATAGAGGACATTACATTTAAATTTTGAGACCCCATTGGGTTTCAATTGTTTTTCAGTCGGTTGGAGTGTTTGTCAATGTTAAATTATTTTTATAGATTTATTTATTTTCCACACAGAAAAATACAAAAATCTATTTTTCTGCAAAACTGCAATGCAGTTTGTCGGCAGCAGTTCCCGTGACACATTATATTTTTCATTTTCCCTATTAATAATTGTTTGTCTTATCTACTAATAGTACACTACACTTAATTAATACCTAAACCTTACATTTTTTCAGTATGAAAAGTATCCTTTGTCTAATCCAGTTGATACACTTTAAATGCTTGCTAAATCTTATAAAAATTCCATTCAATAGCTGTTGCGCGATTGTGTTACAATAACAAACATTCCAATATACAAACTTACAAACCTTCACGGTTATAATATTAGTAAGAAAGTAGGATTTGACATACAGTAATAATCTAGTCATGGACATATTGATAGGTAAAGTGTCTTGAGTGAATAGCATGCTTAAGTTCTACTACATTGGATACAGGCAACTGTAAATATATGTTTTTTTTCACCAGCTTAGAAAGTGTCCATAGTGTAGTAGGATTTTGGTTCTTGCAGGAGTATTGTCTGGTTTTTAGTGGCCCTGTTCAGGGCGTTAGTTTGGGTCCTGCTCATTTCACGGGGCCGAAGAGCTGGCTGTAATGAGCAGGGAGGAGTCCCACATACTTTCATCTCGCTCCCCCGGTGCTTGGAGGATGCGTAAGGCATTTCGTAGACAAAAAATAGATTTTGGTTCCCATTAGTCAATAACTCTGTCATCTTATCAATCTTATCAATGTAATAGTACTACAGGATCCCAAGACCTTAGACCAGACCTTACTTATTTTCTCATGGACAAAATATGGCTAATCGAGTAGAATTAGTGTGTACAATAACGTATACATACTCGCTAACTTGTACTGTGGGCCAATTTTCAGGTATCAGGTGGCCCGGGCACGTAAAAATTTTACTCACTTTACGTATGTTTATAAAAATATTAATTTATATATCAATGTCAAATTGTTTACAATAATCTCTACAAATACGTAGGAATTTGTAATATTGCTAGACACATTCAGCCGGCAGTTTTTATTGCCAGACACTTTAAATGGTGAAAGCAAAAAACACAACCTTTACTGCAGTAATTTTGATAATTAGATAAGTAATAATAAGTTATTTAATTATTTTTAAAGGCTTCTTTTACACTTTTATGAGATAAATTTAATGAAGCTGTATTAAAAAGGCACTTAATTACCATGAGCGTGCCTTTTTTACAGTGGCACTTTAAATAAGCTTAAAGAATTTTAGGCCCCTAAGATTGGTATGGCAGCTTACAAAATATAATAATATAGGGGACTACCTAAATATCATAGATTAATATCAGGTCTCAGACTGTCTGGTCCATGAGAAAATAAGTAAGGTCTAGCGGTCTTGGGATCTTACTCTATAAGCCATTACTGGTAATGACTTATAGAGAAGATCTCCAGTAAGTATACACAACTTCACACAAGGTACTTAAAATGAATACAAATCGATGTAACGAAAATATGAGCCATCCTTGAACATTAAAACTCTTTTAAAATTGGTTGTATAGCAACCACGCCACGCGACTGCTTTCGAGGAAAAAAACGTTCCATTCAAATTTGGAATCTTTGTGAGGCGGGGATGAAACAAAGGCCAGTCGACTCGGGATGCACGCTCATTTGGCAACCACATGTCTTATAAAAAAAAACTTCAAAAGTCGACGTCAGTCGAAGATTCCGAAATTCGCCGAACGTAAAGCGATTGGTTCTCAGAAATGTTCCTGGCTTTTGTTACCGATAATGAAACTGTTTTTTTTATTTCTTTACCATACTACGATAATTATTATTGAATGGTATCACGTTATTGTAAAGTTTTAAGTAAATTTTTTTCTTCAGCATTTAAGCATATCTAAAAGTCTTACAGGAAAGTTTGGAAACATCAAAGTTTACTTAGGTACTTTTTAGTTTTAACAGCCGCATTCAGATACATCAATTAAAATTAGTGCAAAATTGACGTGTTGTCATAACATATCGTTATCGTTATGTAAGTTGCTGATTGGGTTGAGTTTATTTATACTTACACCTTAGCCCCAAAGTAAGCACTGTGGCTTGTGTTATGGGATATTTTGGTAACGGATAGAAATACAAAATGATAATAGACAAGTATATTATTTAAAATGTATATAAACAGTCATAGGCTTCGGTACTAATGTTTATATTCATACAGTCATTTCCCCACTAGAATAATTCGAACCCTGAAGAGATTACACTCATTGGTAGTCGTGCGTGAGGATGCTCTAAGCCAACATAGTAAAGTCTTACAAGAATAATTTCTGCGCCCGACGACAACGGCTAACTAGAGCCGAGGTCGGAGTCTCAGAGACGGATGCTAGTAGAACTAACACCCCCTGCAGGATCGAGTGGTCTAGAGGCTCTCCCCGAGGGGAGGAGATGCCAATCGCCTCCAGTGGCACTCGCCAATTTTCGGCTTGAAGAATCTCGCCTACCCCAAAAACCCGGTGACGCTGTAAACGTCATCTGCGACCTGAGCATACACATTCAATAAAAAAATAAATAAAGAAATGACCTTTTCAAATTAATTAATCACACAAAACTTTCAAGTGTTTTGAGATTGAGACATGGTGTGTCAATGTAACTTTCAGGGATTTAGATAGGCATTTCGGTTCTTGTCGGGCCAAAAACTTGAACTTGTAATAAAAATAATTTTATATCAACATCCTCATATACGTCAAGTGACCAACTCAACTACATAGGTACTTATATTTATATCTCAATGAACTACTTCAATACATAGATAAAGTAATTGTGTTCCCCTTAAAATTATTTACAACTATCCATTTTAAAAGATAGAAAGGTCGTGAGTTCATGAGATAATGCGAGCCTATAACATTAGCAAGACAATTCGTTATCATTTTCTAGGCCTGTTGTTTGATGTCACTATTAGAAAGCATTTACTACTAAAATTAAGATTTTGAATCGTCAATGACTCAATCAATTGATATAGTAGCCAATGTGTTGTAGAGACGGTTATCTACTTAATAAAGGTGGAGCATAGCGGATCCCGCTTTAATTGTAGCACTAGTTTGAGGAAGTAACAGTTTAGAAGACCAAAGTACAATACTGACTTTTAGCAGTGCTTTCCATCGGTAAGACTAAGGTTCCAGTGATCCAAGGAGTTGTGTTTATCGATAGTGCGGTAAAAATTTCTACCGCATCAGCTTCCTTTGTGACTAGACTCCACTTTCAATCAGCTTGGGCTGGGTTATTTGCTGCAACTTTTTTGGGCCAAATAAGTACCTTTTTCTTGGTCTGAGGCCGAACCAAAGCTAAATTAATTTGATTTCGTTAAGATTAATCATGTGAATGAGATGCCTCTCGTCTGTGAGGGGTCGAGCGCGCCACTATTCTTTATCTGGGAAGGCAGATATCTACTAATTATATAATGGTATCGATCTTGGCATGATTCTCTTAACCTAAACTTAAATTTGACAGTGGTGTATCCTTGGTACTGTCATATCCTATTAGTTTTCATCATCATCATCAGCCTATTAATGTCCCCATTGCAGGGGCAAAGGCCTTTCCTATGGATGGAATAGTAAGATTGGGCCACGCGGCCCAGTGCGGATTGGTGGGTGCTAACGACTACAAATGCAGCCGGGACCGACGGTATTTTACGTGCCCTCTGAAGCACGGAGGAGCTCAAGATAATAAGTTTTTGATCACCCATCTAATGACTGAACATTGCTTAACTTTCACGATCACAAAAATACTGAATGGATTTGGATAAAATTTGGTACGCATATAGTTAATGATCTGCATAGACACCGAATCATATAAATGTTAAAGTTGTGTGTATGTTTGTCACTCATCTTCGCAAAAACAGCTGAACGGGTTTAGATGAAATTTAGGATACGTATAGTTTATTAACTGGATTAGGACGTAGTATACTTATTATCCCCGAAAAATGTAAGTTTCCTGTGGGATTCTCTAAACACTAATCACAACGTAGACTAAGTAGCGGGCGAAAGCTGGTTCTTTATAAATGAGTGTGGTTTATGCAAGAGTGACTTTTTTATACGAGGCAATTTACCCCACCCCACCTGATTTCAAGTGTAGGTGTAGTCCAGTCGCGAAAGGAAATGATGCGGCAGAAAGTGTGCCGCACCAGCAATCTTCATCTTGCCGGCCTGAATCCAATCCGTACCATGCGGAGCCCTGGAACCCTACTCACCAGCAGAAACTCAACACCACCAAAAGGTAGTGTTATTTTACCGTGGTCTTCTGTAAGGTTGCTATCCCAGAAGGGTGCTCCAATTCGAGCGGGAAATCCACTATGCCCTATCTCATTTAATAAAGCCATTATCTATCAAGCGCTTTAACTAAATCACTCGTCTAAAGACTGGGAATAATATCGTTACTGGAACAATGAATAATGCGATAAGCGTGGAAGTGACCTGTGACTATCTAATTGAGCACTAATTGCTATTATCTCAAGATCATTTTTCGTTTGGTCCACCCCGGTCCGGGCGGCTGGTAGCCCAGGCTCCGTGATAACGTCCGGCTGATAAGTTATCTCGTCCTGTAGCTGCTGATAGCGGGTTCGTCTACCCGCCTCTGTTGTGGAAACCGAAATACAATAGTGTGCCTATTGCTATTATTGTTTAATGTTGGTTTTTAATTGAGGTGCTGGCGAACAAAACGATATAATCAAATAAAATAAAAAATTTCAGGAGCTGTATAAAACTAAATTACATACCTCCAGTGAGCTTCTGGCATGGTTTTCAATTTATAAATTTAGTAATTTTAAAACTGTTTTAGGCAGTTTTAATTGAAAATTATTTGAGATTAAAATTCAAAGTGGCCCGAAGCCTCCGGTCTGTAAAAATAAGTAGTTTAACCAGATGCGTAATTATACCGTTTTGCTCGCCAGCGCCTCAATTATTAAAACACATTTTTTATCATTAGGTTCAAGTGGGGGACAGTGTAACCAAGTGCACAGAGTGTAACAAAAGGAATATTTCTGTATTATACCCGGTCATTTGTCGTCTGATCACAGCTGCTTAAGATGGTGGCATACGAATCTGATAAAAACAGATAGAACGTCAAGACAGACTGTAGATAGAAAAGAAAAGGGCAGGAAATATTCCATATGTTACACTGTCCCCTACTTGACCCTACACAATCGTGTCTTCGTTTGGTTTCTAAAAACACACCTGAAAGACTTTATTTTATCAAGAGTAGATTTACTGGTTTGTTAGTATGCTGTAAGGATAGTTATCAATAATTTAAAAACAAATTTGCAGCTTCGAAAGACCTGTGCTACCTGCGTGGTGCCCTCAAAAACCTCAAAATTTTCGGCCTCTTTCGGCGTCTTGGCTATAACTTTTGAAAGGTCCCTCCTATCTTCAAAGTCACTAATCCAATCTAAATATCTTTAAAGTCAATAGTCAATCCTGGATGGATTTTAAAATACAGCACTAAAAATTGTAGTCCTAGCCACATTCTGAATAAATGATTGATTAAAATACTCGTTCTACTAGAAAAATCGTGAAAAAAATTTCGTTAAGTATAATCAATTAGCTTTAATTTAAGAAAAACTGGATTCTGTAGGACTAGCAGTTTTAATGTTAACGACGAAAATATTTTAAGGAAATCGGATTTCTCACAAAATGGTGCTGATGTAAAGGATTATTGCTTTTACTAGATTTTTTTTCACAGTTTTTCTCGTAGAATAAGTATTTTAATCAAAAATCTGGCCAGAATTCGGCTGAGACTATAATATCCCACATTTTGGTGAAAATAACCAATTTTTGAAGTGCTGTTTCAAAATCTATAAGACCTACAGTTTTGAAATGGTTTTTTTTTTATAAAGAATTATGTCTACTTTAAAATGTACACTGACTTTTAAGATATATGGACCTTTCAAAATTTATATGCGAGAAGCCGAAAAAAGAGCGAAAATTTCGGGTTTTTTGGGGTACCAAGTAGCACAAGGCTTTCGAACTTGCAAATTTATTTTTACATTATTGATAACTATCCTAACAACATATATATAACTCAGCAAAGTGAAATTTATTGCAACCTAGGATGTCATATATAACAGGCCTATCTGTATTTTATTTACATGTATTTTTATCTTTGCCATAGCGATATATTCAGTCCAGGAAGTAATACACACTTCACTTGAACCATTGAATTTAATTGAAGTTTTGTTTGCTTTTCAAGTAAAACAACAGCAGTTTTTTATAGGGAGTATCTACTTAACTAATAGGCTAGTTGACTCGTGTCAAATTGCACTATACAAATGTTTATTTCTTATAATTTTTAGTATGGGGAACCTAAATACCTACATCAATTTCACTTCATAAAATTAGAAGATGGCTGTAGTAATTTAATTTGAAAAATAGTTTTTTAGTCTATGCTTTTAAAACACTAAAAACGCTGCCCACCATGATTGTGACGTCACAAAATTCATTGCCGTGTTACATTGGTGTTACTGTTGTTTCTTTCGTCGCGTCGTACTAAAATATATCTAGAAAATCTTCTAGAAAAGTTTCCGTTTATTGGTTTTGTTGACTAAATTAATGCTGGGCGCCGGATTTGTGAAAGCAGAAACGACAAAACTATTTAACTTAGTAGGTACATTCATAACCTTAAAAATTGTATTATGTATTCAACTTTTAATATTATTCAATGAGTACTTACATCGAAGATTGATTGATCTTTGCTTAATGAAATGACTGTAGACGATAAAGTTATAGGATTAAGTTTTTCGGGAGGAGCAAGTTTTAAACGTGTGTTCATGTGTATTTTTCTGGAGTCTTTAACGATGTGTTTCTATATTCTTGTATGACAATACAATCATGATTATAACTATATACCTATATATAATTAAATCTATTAGTAATCATGGTTTTATAATATAAATTCAGATAGGTTATTTTTTCCTACGTGCTTGAGAGTGTGTGTTTACAAATTTTTTGGTGGCATAGCATACATTAACTTATAGATCAAGAAAAAATCTATTTTCAAATTAAGGTTTTGTAGCTTTCTAGGTGAAAACAAAAATTCAATTCAAATAAATTTATTTTCGGTCTAATAGAACAAAACATACATATTTCCAAAAAGTGTCAACTAGCCTATTATTAAATACCGAAAAAAAATACGTCATCAGTAGGATCTAATTAAGCAGAGCTTGTATTGTAGCGGACATCAAATAACGGAAAGAATAAACAATAAAATTACACATTCCATATAAAACTTCCTCCTTTTTGTTTCATCATCCTATTAATATCCTACCTTCAGGAGCACAGGCCTTCCTTAAGGATGGAATAAACAGGTTGGGCCATGATCCACCACGCGGACCCAGTGCGGATTTGTGGGGGCTTACGACAGCAGATGCAGTCGGGACCAACGGCTTAACGTGTCGTCGTAAATTTTTGTTCACCAATCCAATGACCGACCACTGCGAAAGTTGCTTAACTTTAACGATCGCAGCCATACGCGCTAACCTCTTGCGCCATTGAGCCCCTTTTTGTTTGAAGGCGGCTAAAAAGAGTTTTAAATACCATGTCTTGTTTAGCAACTGATATAATGCAAACAAATTCACATTATAGATATTGTGTTTTCAAACCTTCATGGACAATAGCTTGCTTGATGCTATTGAAAGGTATGTTACGATGGACAAAAGTAAGGCTTACATTACAGTGCATTGTTAGTGCAATACCAATACATTTGGTGTCAAGTTTGAGTCGAGATTATTATCTTATCCTACTAATAATAGTTTAAATGAGAAAATTCGTATATTTCTTACACAATCACATAAAAAGTCGGAACGGATTTGGATGAAATTAGCTTATTACCTGGACAAAGGATATTTTTTATCTTGGAAAATTGTTGAGTTCCTGTGATATATTCAAAAGACTAAAGTTACTGGCGGATGCTTATCCTTTTGTCTGTGTTAAGGACTAACAAAATTGCATGCCAAATACCTCAAAGATTGTTACGGTACTCGTATTAATGCAAAACGACAAAAAACAAATCAAACTTTAACCTATGTAATATGAGTAAGTATTATTCTAATATGTCTGCTGAAAATGACTGAAACCTAGATATTAATTAAATAAAGCTCTGGCTTGATGATAATCCAGTAAATGACTAGAATGCTTAGTTTTTCCATTCGATCCACCTCCCCTCCTAACTATATCTTCTTTGTACCCAAATATCTTTTTAATTTTAACTCACAGTTAACTTAAGTAATACTTCATTTTATTTTGATTTGATTTGAGAGACGAATGTGAAAAATATTTACCTATCTCGAATTCAATTTATATTAGAAAAATCTATCTCTAAGTTTGTCAAACTTCAGAACTAAGTCGACGTTTGTAAACATATTCCAAAGGGAAAACTAAACAAGTTAAATTTAGACAATTATGTGGCGGTTGGTCCTATCAAAACGCTAAAAAGACGTATTTATTGCGTAATAAATTAAAATAATTATTTAAGAAACCGTTTATTTCCTTCGTTGTTATATTTAATATAACGTGGTTATATTTTTTTATTAACAGGTTTTCTAAATCAGTTTCTTGCCATCCCGAAATTAGTTCACACTTACAGATTTCGGAATGTTACAGTCAATACAGCCACAAATTTGATTCGACGTCCAACCCTATCATTTCTAAAAATGAAAACAAAAGCTGAAATATCATAATATTTTTATTACCTGTCCTTGGATAACATGTTCGTCGTGATCGGCGCTCGCGCCTACTAACTTGCAGTACAGCTCCGGTCCCTCGTCGCCGCAGGTCGCTGTGGCCGTAATCTTCTTGCCTAAAGCTAAATTCACGTAGGGCGGCGTCAGGATTTCTGCGCGTGTGTATAGCGCGCATAGCGCCAAAAGTAGCGCGACGGAGCGCATATTGCGCGCGCGGCGGTTCGACGCGGAATGAGGCACCCGCGCTCGAACCCCCGACCTCCCTCCACTCAGCTCAAACTCCTCAATCACCCCGACTAATTGAAGAGCTTGCTTTTTTTGTTGGTCTAAACGCGTTCCACATTTCGGTACATCAGTACAGCAGCGCAATTTATTGATGCTCTGAGTATAGATTGAGGAATTCAAATCATCGGTTTTCAAATTTCACGTTGCGTTGTTGTTGATGTTGTTAAAGAACCTGGTCAGTTCACGACTTGCTCATGTGATATCGTAGAGTCTAATCTTTTTGATAAATCAAATTAGGTACTCACAAGAGGTTTAGGCGTAGTTTAGAGAACATAAAAAGGAATTGTAAAAGCTTCAAGTAAATGTCATCATGACATGTTTTTAGTTCTTAGCTATGCATTTTTGTAGCTTTAATTTATTATGATATTTTATTCTATACGTTTTATATATATTGTTATAGTGGTGCAATCATCATATTTTACGTACTGTTCATTATTATCTCGTTTGAAAAGCCCATATCAATATAATCCGAATCGTATTGTTGAAATATTACCACAGGACTACGAAGATGTGGACGAAGTGAAATTTTTATCGACCAAAGTTCCTATAGAGTTTTACTCAGATATGTCCTTGACCAATGTTAACGGTGAGGGAAATGAATTTTATACTCGATGGAGTTCAGTTCATTTCTCATTTTCTTACAGACCGACTAAACCAGCTAACGAAACTTCAAAATCAGTCACTGAGTCTTCATGGTACAGCGCGCCCATCATATTGTTAGAAACTGAAAAGATTCCAGATTACATAGGGATTTTAAGACCCACGCAGCCAAATTCGGCTTCCCGAAGAACGTGGAGACCATATTTTCCCTTATTAAGTCGAACCAAAAATACGCAGTCGACCTTTGTAAGCACTTCTACCAACAAGCAAAGCACCTACTCGAAAGTTGATCAAAAATTTAATATATCGCTGGATAGTATGAAAACATTAAAGATCATGGACAAAGAAATTTTGAGAGTCATGTCTCAGTTAGCTTCCAATATTAGTCAAATGAAATCTGCAGAGAAATTAAATATATTGCAGGTACAAATGCAAACGTCCACACCGACACCGATTACTAACCCACAAAGTACTCGTCTTCTTTTGTTACGTTTAATATACCACGACAAAGACATTATTAGTAATACAACTACAGATAGCACTTATAGAATCCCTTACAGTTGGAGTACTATGCCCAATAATAAATGGGTGAATTTCGATTTGTCTAAGCCTCAGCTAAGAGCTGTAACCACACGGTGTTTCCAGTGCGGAATTGAAGTTGAAAAATTAGGTCAAGCGAATGTTATGACACCTTTCAAAGCCCTGATCATAGAAACCGTTATAAAAGAGCGAAAATGAAGACCGAATGCAAGGGAGATCCTTACACAGGCGGGTGCTTTAAAAGATTTTTAGATATTGGAACTAATTATCATGAAAGGGGATGCCGAGCCGATCCTCCAGTGAAGGGTGGTACCTATGCCACCGGCAGATACCAAAAATTGGAGAAACTTTTGAAAGATATGCCTGAAGGTTGCGCATCAAGTCCAGCCGCCTCATTAGTGCCTTTTTCAAAAGCTATTTCTCTATATACTTACTTTCACGTTTGTGTTTGCAATACTAGTCTTTGTAATACAGCAAATGGTTTACACTCATTTCAACTAATATGTCTTTTTATTAGTATTACATGTAGTGTAATTTGTTCAGAGTAGTACATGTTCTGTATCTCAATGTTGAATATGTAATCGCTATTAAAACGTTTTTTTCATTTTTATTTATTGGACGAATCAACAATACTGCAAGAAAAATACTCTACTTTGATATAGAATCGATAGGATCACAACATAATTAAATGCAAGATTATAACAAAATGAAAAAACTATAATTAGAAACAATCTACAAGCAAGGCACGAACTTGCCATCGCTATGATTGTGATAAAGAAAAGCTTTTATGTTACAATAATAATAATAAATCTTTATTGTGTATGGAACAATTCATGCTATTTGAAAATTTACGTTGAATCTTTGCTAAAACTTTCTGAAAGTAAATTGTTTCTGAAGATTCTCGATAACTATAATTATAAAATAGTATTAGGTACTAATTTTACACATCATCACAGCTTATTAATGTCCTCACTGCTGGGGTACAGGCCTTCCCTATGTATGGAATAGGGAGATTGGGTCATGATTCACAATGCGGGCCCAATGTGGATTGGTGGGTTCTAACAACTGCAAATGCAGCCGGGACCAACGGCTTAACTTGTCTTTCGGAGCACGGAGGATCTCAAGATAATAAGTTTTTGATCATCTATTCAATGAGCGACCATTGCGCAAGGTCGCATGGTCGCTTCCATGATCGCAGGCCGATGGCCATAACCACCTGGGCTACTGAGCTCCTCATTGCTGATTTTACAAATGGCAAATGAAAAGGTTTCATTGAAACGGAGGGTTTGAGGCAATAAATTCTTCCGAGCGAAACTGTAAAATAACATCATGATTTTATTATCATTGGTATCAAATATTTGATTAATGATAATATGGGATGGACAAGATGAACCCACTTTTTCAATGTAAAGCATAGGTTATATGCCCAGTTTTATTAGTCAATCGAGTTGAATTTAGTCGTGATCTAAATATTCGGGAAGAACTTAATGATATTTAAATCAAATTTCAAATTGGTGTTATGTGATTTGTTTAATACAGATTATCTTCCGGAAATATCTTTTCTATATTGTGCACAAAGATTGTGTACTAGCGGCCTGCCAGTCTTCACACGGGTGCATTGTATTATTGAGACATTGCAAAACTTTAAGATTTTAATAAATTACAACATACATTATACCGAATAGGAAATCCCCAAATTTTTTGGTAGAGTTTACAAAAAACTGTCAAACAAACCTTATGCCTTTTCTGACCATAAAAAATAAAACAAAGAAAATTTTTTTTAATTTCGTGCGATTTTAAGAAATTTATGTGTGAACATACATTGTGGAAATTTATTTTTATTAATATAATAATAGATACCTAATAGATGAAACTAATAATTTAATATAATATTTATGTTAAGGTATTCAGGTATAGATATAGTTATTTTTTTATGTTAACGTTCATTTAAACTTGTGTTATATTATAACATCAAAAACCTTTTTATCATACGTATGTACCTATTTTAATCAATGCAAGTAAATAAATTAGTAAATTGTATAGTTAATGTTTCTAATTCCAAAGATGGATCTTGTAGCAAAAATAGATAATCAGTTTAAATGATATCTATTATAGTTAACGCTATAACAAGTTACGTATCAGAGTTGTTAACATCGTTGATCACTTGGTTGAAAGCTAAAGTCATTCAAGTAGTAAAAGTACCAGTAAAAAGTTATTCCAAACAATTTATCTAATAAAAACAACAACAGTAAATTATACAGTACAGACGTAAAATTACAAGGAATATTGATATTTATGCCCATCTTCTGATTTCTTATCTTTACTGACTTTGTGTTCACTCATGCTGTCAACACTGCTCTGTCTTCTTAACGCTTTCAAATCGGAACAACTTTTTTTAACTTTTTTCAAGCTTGATACGGAAGAGTCTGTTGATTTGGCTTCTTCTTTATATTGTTTCGAACTTTCTTCACTACTCACTTTCGATGTTTTGCTATTTTTATCTTCTTCGTCACTCTCTGTGATACTTATTTTTATCACTGGAATTACTGAACTAATAGAATCAGTTTGCTTGGATTGAGTGCTAGACTCTGAAGTTTGATTTCTCTCAAACTTCGTATGGCTTTTTGTATTTTTTTCGGTTGGTGTATCAAGATCTTCTTTTTCATTGTCTTGATTTTCATCTTTGATTTTTTTCTCTGGATAGTTAATAATTTTATCCAATTTAAGTTTTACGCCTTTACCTTCGTTTATTTTGTGATTTTCGTCACCAGGGGTTTTAAATTCAACATTGTTTCTTTTCTTATTTTCTGTACTCTTGAAAATTATATCTTTTATTTTCAATACTTCTTTTGGTAAGGTTTCATGAAAATCCGTATCTGTTTCATCGTCGAAATTGTTAGAAGATTGTGATATATTTGTAACTTCTGGCACTGTTTCAACTTCCGGTTTTTTGTCTAACGCCATACCTACAATTTTCGCAAATATCCCTCCTGTAAAAAAATAAAATTGAGTACTTAGGTAGTAAATTTATTAAAAAATATTTGTTTTCCACACACAAATGAACAATATAAAAATGAATTATTGATTACAGATCATAATATTAATTCGGTAATAATTATGGTTTAAATTTGTTTTCTTATTACGTGTATTTATAATACCTTTTCTCTTCGTAGATTTTGAAGGTTCTGCATTATCATCACCGGTAGTAGTCTTTCGTTCATCGGAATCTATAGATTTACTGATTGGTAGAGATGGCAGAGCTTTTTTCCATCTTGCAAAAGGTGTATTGTCCATTGCAGAAGAGCCTCCTCTGCGTCTAGTGTCAGCCAATTGAAACATTTTACGTCTCTCTTCAGTTCTTTCACGACGAAGTTGTATCTAATAATAAAAAATAAGTTATTTTGACCCACATACACATCAGCGTATAATAATAATAACACTATTACATAATAATTTACCTTGAGATCATTATTAGCTTCTCTCAAAGAATTTGTAAGTGATGTAAGATAGTAAATAATAAGTATGAGAAGTACGAGTAACGGTATAACAATAGCTGGGGAAGCTGCGTATTCTAGTGCAAAATTTAATGATTTGGGGAGTATTTTGTAAATATTATTTGTCAATATATGATATATTTTTTCATATTCAGAAAATGGTCCGCAGTGCCACGAGGGCTTCACCCAAACAATTGTATACCCAACGGGTAATACACATAGAAAAAGCATCGTCAGTAGCAGAGCCAGGTAGAAGTTATTGCTTTTAGATACTCTGAAGACAACTTCGTGTGGCACATTACATGTCATCACAGCCCAAGATCGAAGGTACATCATAATCATCAACTTGACAACATTTAGTACCACTAGTCCAGGAGAAAAGAACATTCCCATCCAAACCATTCCTTGATTATTTATAAGATGTAATATGTTTTCAGCTATTTTGAAATCCCCATATTCTGGAAATTTCTTTTCTAAGTCCCAACACCAGCATCGGTTCATATATCTCACGAAGAGGGCTCTAAAAAAATCCATAAAAAGTGTGCCTAGCAAGACAAAAACCTGAAAGATTACCAGAAAAATTAGTTTTTTATTAAAACCTCGGTTTTTTATTGAAATTAAATTTTTCATTATTAGCGTAGTATTCGCTGGGCAGCCTTCTTTGCATATACTATTGGATATCACATAATAAGATATTCTATGTTAGAGATATTTAGAAACAGTGATTAAGAATTTACCAGATCCATCATTGTTAATTTTACTAACTCTTGCCCAAACATAGTTTCCCAACATAATTTCAATAACTTCTTTTTTGTCGCTGTTGTTAAAATGTACATTTTCCTGTTATGGTCATCGATGTAGGCGATGTCCGTAACAGTTTCATTTGTTTTATTACTTTCGATTACTTTAGTTAATTCACATTTAGTTACATAACATCGCTTCTCCACAATTCTGCAATTCGATAGAAAAAATACTTGTGTTATGTTCCGGCCGCCACAGTTAGATGAACAGTTGAAAAATGTAGGGCATTTCATATCTGGATTAAACGAAGTAATTTCTGTGCTTTCAATTGTTGTGTTATCGTTAAAGCTGTATGTAGTTTCGGTCAGTATTGAGTCAGTAGAATTATTATAAGTAGTTGTTTCTTCATTGGGAAATGTGATAAATGTCCTATCTTGATCCAAATATGGTGTATTGGTTTCGACAAACGTAGTCAAGGTTTCTTCAGTAGTTTCATATGTATTAGTACTGAAAATATCAGGGGTTGTATGGTAATCAATTGATTTAGTTGTATCTTTGGTACTACGATTTGTTTCTTCTCCGTAATAAGAAAACAATGTTTCCGTGGAAGAACTTATGTTCATATCTTCTTCTGTAGAAACACTAAGCATATCAGTACTACTTTGATTATTATTCTCGTTATTGTTACTTAGGGTACTGTCAGGTTCTGTGGAATATTCTTGTGTTCTTTCAGAAGAACCTGTTTCAGTATTTTCTGTTGAAACTGTAATGGTTTCAGTGATTGTTTTGCTTAAATGACTAGTATCAATGTTTGTTGTAGGATGGATGGATTTTGAAACATTAAAGGGATAATCTGTGCTATTTATATAATCCTCATCATATTCCTCAATAGAGTCATCTTCATCCAAACCAGTGTTTTGACTTATATTTCTCACTCTCTCTAATTCTGACTTTAATATATCAATACTATTCAATGTCGTACTTTCTATCTGAGTAGTACTTATGTCAGAGTCTATTAAATTTTCTGCCAAATTGTTACCTTTTACATTAGAAATTATAAAATCTTTATTGATTTTTTTCAAGTTCACATTATTTGATTGTTTATTCATACCTAAGTCATTATTTACGTCTTGATTTTTGGCTAAATATTTTGGAATTACATTCTGGGGAAAAGATTTTTTAAAATCTTTTTTTATTAATTGATCTCTATTCGAAATTGCTTGGCTGTAAGGGTAAGGCGTAGTTGTTTCTACTATTAAGGATGAAGTTTTGCTTGTGGTGGGCACATTAATGGCAATAGTTGGTAAAATATAACAAGGTTCGCATGTTACCCTCTCTTCAAAACAAAACATAGGCACGTTTAGAGCCAGAGTTTCACTAACATTCAGTGTATTATTCAAGAGTGTTGTAGCAGTCATATTTAAGGGAGGTTTCAGTGAGTCTAGGTCTTTACTCATCCCTTCAATTTTGCTGAATAGAGCAAATATTAGGGAATACAAATTTAGCAAGTTCAATAACATGATCCTGAAATGAAATAAAATTTTGTTTATTATGCCACTGACTAATTTCATACAGAAACAGTTTTATCTATATACATTTGGATTAACCTTGCCAACTGTAGCCTGAGCTGCTTTCTCGGATGGTAGTGTTCCAAAAAGCCTAGAAGTTCGAAGAACACAGGAAAGGTAATAGAAATTACTGTGACAACTATGGTCGTTTCGTTTTCTCGCCACCAGCTGCGATGTTTTGGGTTATCGTCGGAGCGAGATACCACAGTCACAACTGCATAAGCCGATACCGCCAGAAGAAGCATTACACAAATATTGACCATCGCGCGAAGAGAGATGATACGCCAACTGGAAAAAGCTAGATATGCTAAAAAATACTGAATCGGACAAAAAATAACAAATTACGATAACATTGTGACCATCTACAAGGCAGTGCATCATTAGATGTAAGCTAAGACATATATTTTTTTCTAGCTGTTAGAATAACCTTAACTGTTCTTAATGAATTTAACAGTATTCAACTAAATAAAACATTTACATAAAGAACTTTAAAAGATTAGAAAGTCAGTTTTGTCTCTTTGTGGGATATTCATAGAATACACTTCATTAAGAAAACATTCAATTTAAGTAACGTTTCACACTAAAACGGTCTGATATTAAAAAAATATTATCAGATTCTTACTTTCTTAAGTCCTTCTTTTTCTCAGCTTCTTCTAGCAACGCCTCCTTAAATCCTAATATGACTGATGCTATTCTGTTGTGAGCCGTCTCTGCGTTGCCAATCATAAAATCCCAACCAGTAAACAACTTCCAAGAAAATATACATTCATCTTCCTTTTCCGACAATTTCGACATACGAGAGTTTTCTGCCATCCTAAAAAAACATCCTTTAAATTAGTTTCTGAAATTTACTCTTTTCATTATTATTGGTATTCTTTTATTCAGTTTTCTTGAGTTTTATCAATTGTTTATTAACAACGGATTCCTAGAAATGATAAGGTATTCTTTGAGGTTACATTTTTCAAATACATAAGTATATTTGTATCGTAATGTTAATAAACTAATTGTTCCAATATTTGTATAATTTTACTCATAAATTTTTACATCGTTAACATCTTGAGAAAATTACTGGGAGAAGTTCAGCTTGCGATTGTGTGTTAACATTAAACGATAATTTTAGTATTTTTCTATAATTTATTAAATAATTCAAACAATGTCCGAATTTTTGAATTGTAAAAAATATCGGATTAAGTTACTGTTCTTACTTCCTCAAAGTAGCAACAAAGCTGTAGATGTAGACCACAAGCCCAGTGAGGAAATAAGCGAGTGGCATGCGGTACTGCGGCCGCTCGACGTTGCTATAGTACCCATAGAAGATGGGAGAGAACTTGAGCACACCCTCGAACTCCCATAGCGTCAGCAGGTTCGTGGCATTCTGTAGTTCGTCCTTCATGATGATTTTACGTTCCCCATCTTGCTGCGGATTTCCTGTTAGGTACTGTAAATTATATTTTTTAAACTTTGACGATCTTACTACAAAAATACTCTATGTTTTAAACCACGTTTGAAATGTTGTAAGCATATCATTTTTTTCTTAAACTCGTTTTGAACGCCTGTCTGACTTTCTTGTGGTGATAAGATGAGATTTATTGTCACTGGGTCAAGCAGTGTTTGACAGCAGAATGGATTAGACATACGATACAAGTATAGTACTTTTAGGTACTGTATTTTGAGAGAATTGTGAATTTGCTTGGGGATTTAACAAAGCATAATTCATAGACATCGTAAAATATTTCTTGGCTATGTATGAATTAAGCCTACTTAAAACAGAAATTTAGTGAGCTCCAGGAAAAATATTATTAACCGTTATAGGGTGTACATCGGTCTTTCATAAAATACTGTGTTAAGTAGACTATTATGTAATGTATATAGTAAACATTGCACGAACCTCAGGCACGATGACGAATACAAGCAAAATGAATCCAATGACCAGATTGACCCAGAACAGCCATCTGAGAAAGGTGAAGTATGAAGCCACCACGGAACCGAAGTGGGATTCGATTTCTTTGATGCGCAGCTCCCACGGGATGAGTAGATTTGATGTGTTTGCTGCTTCACGTTTCAATTGTTGCCATTTCTCGAGAAGAAATTTTTGATTAAATAAGTCTTAATTTAATTTAGTACATTAATTTTCTTAAAACCTCTTAGCAAGCATTTATTTATTCAATGGTTTTCTACAGACTTTGTGACTGTTAATCTCACTCAAACCTTACATTCTTTGTTTATTAATAATATGGAATATTTGAAAATTTATTTTATGGTATTCAAAATGCGTTGACAAGTTGAAAAGTTTAAATCTAATTGATAATATAGACTGTCAGTATCATCACATTTAAATAAGTATTTGAACACAATTAACGACACATAAAGTTTAAATTAAACACTACACAACAAAAGTTTAAATTAAACATACATTAAAATGCAGCATCGTTAAAAATACGATTCCCATTTTAGCTTTGATTTATTTTAAAGCAACCTATGTATGGCCGTATCTCCGATTCATCAGGGTCAACGAAATTGGAGGGGCTACTCGTTTAGGGGATAAATAGACCTATAGTATACAGTTGTAAATATTTAGTTAATTTGCATTGAAACAAGAATTGAAAGCAAAGGATACAATTATATGTATAATAGTTAAGTGAAAGCGAGTATTTGTGTTGTGTTTATGAAATTATGCATTATTTTTGTATATTTTGTTAATTTAATTTAAAGTATCCATTATTACAATTTTTAAAAACTATAGGAATAATCTTTTAATACCTGACATGTCTCTGTAACTAGATACTAGCTAAATTCTACTCACTGTGGCAAGAAGTATGTTGAACCGTGCGTAGATATCCCTGGTACTCTTGGATTGTGCCAGCCTCTCCTGCAGCTGACCCTCGTGACGTTTGATGTAAGTTTTCGCCTAATTACGTAGGAGTAGAAAGCATTAACTACAATTTGTTCTTTTACAAAAAATAATTTTTAATCGCGATCGTGTTAACTTTCGTTATTATTATTTAGGTCCTACTCAAAATAACAGAAATCTACACAAAGTCGGAAAATCTTTTTTCGGCTGGAAATAATGGTTTGCGGTAACAATTGTTTGTGCACAACAAATTATACGCAAACAGTATAAAACAGGTAATAAATTGATGTTTAAAATCGATATAAACATCGAGCTTGCTTGTATCGATAACCAGGGCAAGATCCATACAGTGGCTTGAATTTTTGTTTTTATAAAAGAGTAATAAGGATCGTTTAATCCATTAAATCCAACGATATTAAATACCCTAGATACACCACGTGCGCTCAAAATGTGTCCCAATCAAGAAGTGCTTGAACTCAACTCAAGCACTTCTTAGTTCACAGCAGGGTTTGCCAGGTCTCCCGATGTTACAGGAGCTCTCCTGTTTTTCTGAAATTTCTCCTGTTCTTCTGTGTTTTGACATGAATCTACTGTTTTTCTTAGAATTTGTTGGTGTTATTGTATCTAGGGTATTTAATATCGTTGATTAAATCTAGCAGAATTGCACTCTCTGGAGTACTAAGTATAAACAATAATGGGTTAAGCGTTTCGATTTTTAACTTTAAAAATAGTCAGAAGATAATATATTATGATTAATAAAACTTTTGTACGAGGATTCTTTCCAAAAACCTGATAAATAAAATTATACAGACAAATTCAATAAAAGTTTTATTCTGACGACGAAGCCTGTAAAGGCTACGAAACGTCAATAAATAAATAAAGTTTCGTGCATTAACCCGTAAAAACTAGTTTTATTTAAATTATATTAAGTCCAAACAAATTACATATGAAATTAGCGTTTTGTCGTACTGACCACTTTGATCTAGAATATCTCCTCTTTGGATAAGCATTCCAAATTCAAATTAATAAATTCATTTAGCTTGTACATTTGAATTTTGAAAACAGTCATTCATTTGCTTTTTTTCTCGTTATTTTTTTCATAGGCGTCGCTTATTACCGCACAATGGAAAACATGAAATACGGTATATTTACGAGTACGAGTCTACCGTGGCACCAGTGCTGCAGAAACAGCTCTAAGCATTAATGATGTGTTCAACGCTGGTGTCGCAAAAGAAAGCACGGTAAGTTTTTGTTTTCAACGTTTTCGATCTGGAAATTTCGACGTTCAGAACCAACTCCGTGAACGGCCGGAGACCAAAGTGGAAAATGAAGAATCCACTTTCACAATAGCTTTTATTGTGAAAGCGGATCAATCACAAAGCACTTCAGAGATAGCTGCAGGTTTTGGGGTAAGTAACAAAACTGTATTAATCCACTTGAAGCAAATCGGGAAAGTAAAAAAACTTGAACGATGGATACCTCATGAATTGAGTGGATCGAATTTGCAAACTCGCGTCGACTGCTGTGTTACTTTGCTCAACCGACACAATAATAAAGGGATTTTAAATCGAATCATTATTTCTGATGAAAAGTGGATTCGGTACGGCTAAACCCTGGGACTGGGTCTCAAACCCAGCCATATCCTGCCCTAAACGAAAATTTACTCAGAAAATATTACATGTGAGTGTTTGGTGGACTAGCGCCGGTGTCGTTTGCTATAGATTTCTAAAATCTGGTCAAACGATTAAGGTAGATATCTATTGTCAGCCTCTGCAAACCATTAAGGAAGAACTACCTGTTAAACAACCGAGATTAGTCAATCGCTCTAGGCCACTGCTGCTTCACGACAACGCTAGAGCACACACTGCACAACAAACAACCACTAAGTTAGATGAGCTACAATTGCAATGACTGTGACATCCACCGTACTCCCCAGACCTTGCTTTAACAGATTACCATTTTTTCCGGAATTTGGACAACTTTTTACAAGGAAAAAATTCAACTCCGATGCGGCAGTCCAAACCGCCTTCAAAGAGTTTATGATTCTCGCCCCCATGGTTTTTTTTAGTAAAGGGTTCAATGAACTACCTATGAGATGGCAAAAGTGCATATATAACAACGGTGCATACTTTGATTATTTAAATATATTTTACACAAAAAAAATCTTTATATTCCTCCCGTACAAAACGCCAATTTCATATATATGGACCTAATACAGTGAAACCTGGTTAAGTAGGTCCTGGATAAGTGAAAAACCTCTATTATTGAGAAATATAATGAGGTCCCGGCCCTTTTTCATCGAATAACCTCTGTTAATGGGACTTTTCGAACTTTCGAAGAGATTTGATTTTTATGATTTTTTCGATTTACTCAGGAGCTCAATTCCCTTTATAAGTGAGACAATTTATCAAGTTGGGACAGGTTTCGACACAATTGTTCACAAGCATTTGAATTTCTTTGTCAGTACTATCTCAAACAAGAGAATAAAAGTTCACAAAATGTCTAAATGTAAATATAACAACTTTATCAGCATCTGAAAAAATTAAAGCTTCTATCAGATTATATTAAGTACTAGCGGTCCGCCCTCGCTTCGCTTCGGTGTAGAGCTGAAGTGTAGACTACAGATTTTGTTCTCAGGCTTGTATTATACACAATGACATTCATCTATGATTCTTCTTATACCTGCATGCAAAGTCTCAGCTCGATCGGTTTAAAATTGACAAAGTTTCATACAAACTTTCATTCCCTATTTTATCCCCTTGGGGGTAGAATTGATCAAAATCCTTTCTTAGCGGATGCCTACATCATAACATCTACCTGTATGTCAAATTTCAGCCCGATCCGTCCAGTGGTTTGGGCTGTGCGTTAATAGATCACTATGTCAGTCAGTCACCTTTGACTTTTATATACATACTAGCGGCCCGCCCTCGCTTCGCTTCGGTGTAGAGCTGAAGCGTAGACTACAGTTTTTGTCTCAGGCTTGTTTTATACACAATGACATTCATCTATGATTATTCTTATACCTGCATGCAAAGTCTCAGCCCGTTCGGTTTTAAAATTGACAAAGATTCATACAAACTTTCATTCCCTATTTTATCCCCTTGGGGGTAGAATTGATCAAAATCCTTTCTTAGCGGATGCCTACGTCATAACATCTACCTGCATGCCAAATTTCAGCCCGATCCGTCCAGTGGTTTGGGCTGGGCGTTGATAGATAACTATGTCAGTCAGTCACCTTTGAGTTTTATATATATAGATTATAAAAAAACTGAAGATGGTATATTTATCTTTTCCAAACTTCTATTGACATCACGTCGCTCAATTGTTTTGCCTTCCCAGAATCTCTCCACTAACATTTGAAATTTATGGTATGGTATTTAAGTTCAAATTGACTTTTAAATATTATTACGAATCGTTTGTATGGGAGTAAAGAAAAGTTTTGTTTTTTGACATTTTCAGGCATTTTTTTTAATTTTTCTCTTCGTAAGAACCATCCTCGTACTTCAAGGAATATTCTAAAAAAAAAATCAGCCAAATCGGTCAAGCCGTTTTCATGTTATGTCGTGACAACGGAAAACGGGTTTCATTTTTATATATATAGATATAGATAAAAACGGCCATTTTTTTACCTGTATTTATAATCAAACTAAAATTCTCATATTTCCGTTTTGCAGTACTCATTTTCTACACGTTTTACATGATTTATTTGCTAATTTTGTTTACAAATGTTTGGTTTTTATTCTAAGATAAGCACGGTTTCTCAATATCAATTATTGTCTGTCAAGGTCGAACGCTCTGAACGCATCAACAGCCAAATATTGAATGAATCTCGCTTTCTTTTTTTTTTGTTTCCTCCCAGGCGGGGGAGCGGGTGTGAAATCCTCATGGATACCCTACAGCCGGCTGTAGGGTTATGTCAGACTCTTACTGACTAAAACACACCCGTGGGGGATGCCTATGGCCTTAGGGGCCTTACAGGCTTCATCTGATGCGATCAACCCCTGAGAAGGGGATGATGCAGCGCTGCCTTAGTAAATACTACTGCATAATGCGCTTAGAGGACGGATGCACTGTGCACTCTGATGTGCATCCGTATCGGTTTGGGACTGAGCGACTGAAGGTCTCTCAGGGTCGGGGGGTGGGGAAGCTCGCTTTCGGATCTCCCGCCTTTTTATACCCTTCCGCCGCCGCGACCCGTGTCGAGCGCGGCAACCGTTACACAAAAATAATCCTTATAGCATGATTCAGTATTCACGTTCGACGGCGCGATGGCTTATTTCATGTATAAGTTTGGTGTTTCTATACCGATTTCTATGATTCTTTTTTTATTGAATAGGTAATAATGTTAACTTTTTTAAATTAGGGATGAGTGAGAGTATTATAAACGTAAGAGTAAACAAATATATAATCAGAATGCTCCGAACTGCTAAGCTATCAGGAGTTACACGTGTTATTGTAAGTCAACCATAAAAGATAGACATATGCTGTTGCGAGATATTTTTTAGACAATTTTATGTAGAATATTTCCGTCATACATGAATTCTATGTAACTTTAACCATTAAGGACCAACACACGCGACGGAAGATTAAAAATGGAGTAACCCGTTTTCCCAACATTTCCCTTCACTACTCTGCCCCTATTGATTGTAGCGTGATGAAAAGTATACTATAACCTGCCCAGGAGTATGAAGAATAATTGTACCAAGTTTCGTTAAAATCAGTCGAGTAGTTTTTGTTTCTATAAGGAACATCTGTGAGGAACATACACACAGACAGACAGACAGACAAAAATTTTACTGATTGCATTTTTGGCATCAGTATCGATCACTAATCACCCCCTGATAGTTATTTTGAAAATATATTTCATGTACAGAATTGACCTCTCTACAGATTTATTATAAGTATAGACTAAGTAATTTGAGATGTCAATATTGATAATTTTAGTATTATTGGTCAAATTCTCAAACAATTAGCAATCAAATACGAACAACCACAATCGATTACTTTAAGTCATAAACTTTACTGTATTGTATTTTTTTTCATAATAAAAACATACATAAACTTAGTTAACCAAAAAACACTATTTTATTTACATTTTTACCTTTATAAATTGGATAAAGTTACATTTAGACCTCTATAAGCGGGGCGGGCATTTGTAAATGAGACAACTAAATTTTAAACCTGTCTAAATGGAAATCTGAAAAGTGTCGTAAGAGTCAACCTGTGTATCAAGTAAGAATAGATTTTGAGATCAAGAAAAAATATAAAGGCTACTAAGAATCAGTCTAACCTGATGTACGATCTTCAGTTTGCGGCGCATACCCAGAGGTTGTTGCTTCACGGATCCTAACACTTCCTTGTGCAGGTGTATGTTCTCGAAGATCTGTTCCTGAGTCACCACGGCGTTAGTGGGCTGACCTTCTTCGATGGATATGGCCGTGCTAAAATATAACATTTCGGTGTACTTTTGTTAACTATTCATCATCTGGACACGCGGCAGCGTATGAAGCCGAGTCAAGTTAACAGAACTGGCGAGCATCACCGAACGAACCATTTGGAGGCACTTTTGATCCCCCCGTAACTCAAAAACTATAGCACATAAACATACCACATTTAGTTCTTATTTAAAATTACGATATACGTATTCCTAAACACACCTCAAATGGTTATTTAGATATTAAAGTTCAAAAAACGTCATTTTTATCACTGACTGACCTATAGATCAAAACTATATCCCAGTTCCAGATGACCTAAAAGTTCAAATATAGCATCCAGATACTTACTTTCTTGCATTAGTCACTAATGCTGGAAAGTAAGTATCAACAATTTTCAATATCGGCTAAAAGTTCAAAAAGATTAGACTCTTTTGATGAGTCTTTTTAGGAGATATGTATACTATCGAAAACATTAAATAAAATATAAAAAACCACAATAAAAAATTATCAATGATAATATCATAATATTGAACTTGGCTCTCATTTCATATTTATGTTTTTGATAGGATACATATTTGAGGACTGACGTCACGGACGTTCTATTGATAAGTACTGTGTTAGTTTCTTTTAAAAAAATAAAATATACTCGGTTAACGTACCAATTTCTAGTAGTTATAATTTAGTTCTAGAGGTGTTAAATTAGTTGTGGAAGTATTTGTGTTGCGAATGTTTTGTGCTGTGAGAAGTTATAAGTGACTCAAATCAGCTGTTGGATATTTTTGTTTTTTATTGGGTAGGGTACATAAATATTAAGTACGAAATCTGAAAACAATTTAAAAGCATAAACATTTTTATTATATAATACAGAATATAATTTCGTAATAAATTAAAATCAATAATTGTTAAATAATCAACGAAAACTATAAAACAAACTTTTTATTTTTGTGTGCTCGGCGACATCTATTAACGGTCTTCCAAACTATATAGACTGCAGGACGCCATCTAGTGGGAAGCGGTATAATAACTTATAGTACGAACATAACGACTGGAAGCATGCCTAACTACTGTGGTGCATGCGGTCGATTCTTGTCAGCAACAGGTGGCGCTGCCTGTTCATCGTGCCCATTAAAATTCCACAAGGCTTGCCTTGCGTTACCGGATAAAGCGGACATAAGTAGGGACTGGGTGTGTCCCAACTGTAAGAAAAATGTCCGGAAGGGTGACAACAGCCAAACGCCGGTAAAGGGTATATGTGAGGTGTCACCTACTTCCGAAGCATCGAAAGCAAAGGGATCCGACGGGGCGGCTGAGTGTGAAGGGGAACGTCGTGATAGGGAGCTAGCGGTGTTCATGGCGGAGATGCGGGAGTTCCGCAAAGAGATGAACACCCTTCGGGATTCCCTATCAGCGAGGCTCGACATTTTCGACCAGAGACTGAGCGCGGTGGAGCAGCGGCAGGCGGAGGTCGGCAAAAGCGATACTGCAGAGCTGGAGCGCACTATCGCAGAGCAGGGGCAGAGGCTGGGCGCATTGGAGCAGGGCCGGGCGGAGGGTGTCGCGGGGGACACTGCAGAGCTGGAGCGCACCATCGCGGACCTCAGGCAGGAGCTCAACGAGCGCGACCAGGAGGCCCTCCTGGCCGACCTCGAGATAGGTGAGCTTCCGGAGGAGAGAGGTGTGAGCGTGATCCAGTCGGTGACCGTCCTCGCCGCGCGACTAGGCGTCGCGCTGGAGCCGAGGGACGTTGTGTTCGCGGAGCGCGTGGGCACGCCGCCGGCGGAGGCGGGCGGGCGGCCGCGCCGCGTGGTGGTGCGTCTGGCGCGCCGGGACCTGCGCGATGAGCTGCTGACGGCCGCACGTGTGCGACGCAGTGTCGTAACACTCGCGCCCGAGCCCGTGCCCGCGCCTGCACCCGTCGACGAGGAGGGGAAGGTGGCCCCCGCGCCCGCTCCGGTTGGACGCCGCATCTACATCAACGAGCGTCTCACGCGTCACAATCGACAGCTCTTTCACCTCGTCCGTGGGCTGTGCAAGAAGCACCAATGGAGATACTCGTGGACGAGGCGAGGTCGCGTGTACGTCCGTCAAGCAGAGGGCACATCGGCGTATCTAATCAGGTCCCAAACCGACGTTGACCGTGTGTTCGGCCCCCCTGACAAGTGACTCGTAGTAATGAGTGCGTTCTTCTTTAAATGTGTTTTGTTTTCGTTTCTATTATCTGAAAATTTTAATTTTTGTTACCACAAAAAACTAGTTTTTCAGTCACGAGTAGGGTTAAAAAGGAAAATAATTTGTTTGTTATTAAACTCATTAACTTTATTTTTAAAACATACAGATAATATTTCATTGCTAACTAAAAGTATTTATAATGTAAACCTATTAAATTTTAGAACTATGAAAGAAAACGAGGCTTATCTTAAGTGGGGATTATACCATAGATACAAATCTTATATAGGGAACAATGGTATTTATAAGTTAATTCAAAAAAACAATAGTATTAAACTGGCAGCCTGTATATGTAACAATAAATGTCTATTTGTTTTCACGCACTGCTTGATTCGCAGCTCAGCAACATTTCCACGAGAAAAATATCAAATATTTCTAAGCTCTCTATGGCGGCATTTGATAATTATTGTGCAGAGCTAAAATCTGGGAACCTTATGGTTGGACTATTCAATGCGGGATCCCTCGGCACGGGACATGATGAGTTGACTGTGGTCATGGAAGAGTTAGACCTGGACATTTTAGCCATCAATGAAACCTGGTTGAGGGCTGGGGAGGACGATAGGGCGCCGAGGCTCATGGGGTACCGTCTGAGACATACCCCTAGGCCGAATAGTGTGCGCGGTGGTCGTGGCGGCGGGGTTGGATTCTACATCCGTAGGGGTATTAATGCACGTCTCTGTCAGCATCCAGCGGACTCTGTGGTTGAACAGATGTGGTTGAAGGTGCGCATTAATAATCAAAGAGTTCTGATTGGAACTGCCTACAGACCGCCCTGGCAGGATGTGGAGATATTTTTGGATGCCCTAGCAGACTCTATCTCCTCTTTCTCTAGTAGAGATGCGTTAATATTGCTTGGAGACTTCAACATTAACCTCTTGGACTCAGCGAGTGCTAAGTCAAAATTACTAACGCAATTCTTGCACAGTGTTGACTTAAAACAATCAGTTACAGAACCTACACACTTTACAGAGCACAGTTCTACCCTTATTGATCTGGTCTGTAGCGATACTAGAGTATTTAAAGTCATTACTAAGCACATTCCTGACCTTGGGGCGCATGCAATTATTTCAGCAGAATTTAAAATAAAAAAAGTACAGCCATCTCCCCAATGGGTAATTTACAGACCTTTAAGTAATATACTTGTCGACCAATTGAATAAAGATTTAGACAACATAAATTGGAATTCATTTTATGAAATGGATAATGTAAACGGTCAAGTTGAGAGCTTCACACAATGTTTAACAGTATTATTTGATTTGCATGTCCCAATAAAGAAAAAAAAATTTAAACATCCACCACATCCCTGGATTACTGATTGTGTTAAGTCAATGATGCGAGTAAGGGACACTTATCATGAACGATTTAAAATTAAGAGGACGGAGGCTCATAGAGTATGTTATATGAATATGAAACAACTTGTGGTGGAGGCAATCAATATGGAGAAAAAATGCTACTTTGCGGAACATATAAATAAATACAGTAAAAATTCAAAAAAATTATGGAGCAATCTTAAAACCTGTGTAATTGCTGATAGCAGGAAAAAATCAGATATACCGGCACACTTTAATGACCCCAACTTAATTAATGCGCACTTTCTCAACATCCCCAGAAATGGTCAGGTAACAATATCACAACTAACATATTTTGAATATCACAGACATGGACCCGCAGTTTTCTCCTTGCAGACTGTCACTGAGGATACTGTTTTTAAAATTATTAGAGACTTCAAGTCAAATGCGCAGGGTCATGATGGTCTGTCACTTAATATGGTACAATTGACCTTGCCACAGACTTTGAAGGCCATCACGACCATTATAAACAGATCCATATCGGAGAGTGTCTTCCCTGACAGCTGGAAGGTTGCTGTGGTTAAGCCCTTACCCAAAATCGACAGCCCAGCCACCATGAACGACTTAAGACCTATTAGTCTACTTCCCTTTCTCTCTAAGATTCTGGAAAAAGTAGTTTGTGAACAACTTACAAACTACCTTGAGGCTAACAACATATTACCAGAGCGACAGTCTGGGTTCCGCCGTAATCACAGCACAGCAAGTGCTCTTGCCGATGTTGTGGATAATCTCCTGGCAGCTCAGGACCAAGGTAGCCTCAGCGTGCTGTTATTGCTTGATTTTTCGCGAGCATTCGATTCCATAAATAAAAATCTTTTACTATCCAAGCTGGCTTTTTATGGAGTCAATGCCCACTCAGTAAAATGGTTCCATAGTTACCTCGAAAATAGATGGCAGTGTGTCGAGCTGACTAAGACAGATGGTACAAAGCAGTTTTCTGATAACCTGATGGTTACACGTGGCGTGCCTCAAGGCTCAATCCTGGGACCAACCCTATATTCTCTAGTCAGTGCTGATATCACAAACAACATACGTCACTGTCAATATCATTTGTATGCAGATGACCTGCAACTCTATCTGCCCTTTAAACACCTTGACTACAACAATGCTATGACAAAGGTAAATGAGGATTTAAAACGTATTTCCGATTGGTGCAGGTCTAACTCTCTGATTCTTAACCCAAAGAAGTCAAAACTTTTACTAATTGGCTCCAAAAAAAAAGTTCACTATTTTAAGGATATTCAATTAAATGTGCATATAGACGGGGAGAGAATAGAGCGTGTCAGTAAAGCCAAAAATTTGGGGCTTATTATAGATGAGCACCTTAACTTTGAAGCTCATATTGCTGAATGCTCCCGCATCTGTTTCTATAGGTTAAAGTTGCTGTACAAAATTAGGCCATATCTTTGTCAAGAGCTGAGAATCAAGTTGTGTGAAATGCTCGTTTTGTCTAAGATGAACTACTGCGATACAGTTTTTGGACCCTGCCTCATGTCCAGAACAAGTAAGCTTATTCAACGTGTGCAAAATGCCTGCGCTCGGTTCTGTTTTTATGTACCTCCTCGTTCACATGTAACTCCCTTCTTGAACACTGCAAAATTGTTAAAAATGGAGGCAAGGAGGAAGCTTCATTTAGCTACTTTATTATTTAATGTTCTGGACAAGGGAAGGCCAAAGTATCTTTATGATAAACTTAGATGGATGCGTGATCAGAGTAGATACCCAGTTAGGCAGTGTGGGCTTGTCTTTACAACCATGAAGCACCGAACAGCAGCGTTTCGTGGATCTTTTAGATTTGCAGCCACAAAATGCTGGAACGACCTCCCGCCGCCAGTGCGTGATCTAAAAACAATATACACATTCAAAAAGCACATTAAAATATATCTGTTACAAATGCAGCTATTGTTATAGATTGCACGACTCACTGTCTTGTTTTTCACTCCACGTTTTGCGGCGGTTCGTTCCGGTATTAGCCAGCACTGAGTGATTGTTGAGGGAACGTTAATACACCTGTTGTTATGCATTGCATTTGAGCCTCATCAATAAAGGACACACGCCGTCCATCTTTCTTTGTTGCCACCGCGTTGGTGCTTGGCAAGGCTGTGGATGAATGCACACATTTATACTGGAATTGCACTTTTTAATTCATTTAAGTTGCTGATTATTGATATTGTTTACGATTGAATGTACATACCTACTGGATTTCACCCTTTATCTGTGTTTGCTATTGATGGATAGGTATTCCAGAGAAACAAACTTACTCATAGCAATATTGTACCAACAACTGAGCTTCTATTTTATTAGAATATTAAAATTAGTCATGCACAGCTATCTTTCCACCTTTCCACAGACTTTAGATGATGAAATTTTATTTTTTAATTATTTTAATGTGTTAAGGCAAAGGAAAAGGAAAAAATACTCAGCCTCTGCATATATATTTCTTTTCATTTTTACTTATTGTTTTTATTTTTTTATTTTTTGTTTGTGGTATTGTTAATCGTGTTTGTGTCGTTTATTAATCTGTTATTCACGTCAACCTTAGGCCCTGCCAGAATATCAGCGCCGCAGCGGCCTTGGTGTCGTTGTGGCATTGTGCTGAGGCAGGGACCTAGTTGACCTGTTTGTTATCTGTGCTTTTTATTTGTATTTTTTTTTTTTATGGTCAATAAAAAAAAAAAAATTTCTTTCTTTCTTTCTTTCTATTTCCTAAATATGCTCATCAAGAGTCTTATCTTTTTGAACTTTTAGCCGATATTAAAAATTGTTGGTACTTACTTCCTTACATTAGTCACTTTTTAGTGACTAATGCAGGAATACCTGGGAATATGAATCATTTATACACTTCATAACGATAATATAACAAAAATATCAACTGATTAAACTTGCAGTTGGCGTAAATGATAGATGTTGCTTAAAGTTATTTGATGGGTGTCTCGTATGTTTTTAATTTATAAAAAACGTGACGTATTGAATCTGAAATTATTCGTCTCAAGCAATAACACTTTATATTCAAAACTGTTTATTTAACTAATGAAAAGCTTCTGCAACGCAATAGCAAAATAAACTGTTAAATCATGGATTGCACTTGTGTTAGTTTGATTTTTATTTACGAAATTAGAACTCATTTCATATTCAGCATTCAGAGATGGAACTATCTATTTCAACAACGAAGACTGACTTATGCTTTCTACCTCTAGCTTCATTTGCAAGAATGTGGGAAGAAGGTCATCTAGCTCATCCTTACATCGAGCGGCGCACGCTGGCCCTCCATTATCTGATGAGATGAAAAAATGAATAATTCAGCGTCCGGCAAAGGCTTCCTCGAAAATTATTCACTTTCCAGAGCTGGTGGTGAAGACTGATGAACGCCTCTTAGCTCTAACTTCATCGGCAAAGATAGGGGAACAAGGTCGTGTAACTCGTCCTTACCTTGAACAGCGCATGCTGGTCCTCCGTAATCAGATGAGATGGAAAAAATAATATTCCAACGTCCGGCAAAGGCTTCCTTGAAAATTTCTCACTCTCTAAAGCTGGTGGCGAAGACTGACGAACGCCTCCTAGCTCTATCATCAGCAATCATCATCAAGGAAAGGGGAAGCAGGCCGACTAGCTCGTTCTTTCCTGGAGCCTCGCACGCTGGTCCGCCATCATCAGATGAGATGAAATATTAAATATTTCAACGTCCGGCAAAGGCCTTCTTGGAAAATTACTCACTCTCCAGAGCTGGTGGTGAAGACAGACGAACGCCTTCTAGCTCTTGCTTCATCAGCAAGGAAAGGGGAAGAAGGCCTCCTGGCTCGTCCTTTTCTCGAGCGGCGCACGCTGGTCCTCCTCTGCCGGAGCACGGCGCTCAAACTTGCCGAGTAGTCCTCGTCTTCGGAACCCTCTGTGATGTCAGCAGTGTTTTGTTTTTATGTTCAAAAAGGACCCCGCAGAATCCTTATGGAAGATGGCTCTGGGTCAATTTTTCCGTAACTTTGGGAGATGATAGCTCATGACACGTGGAATAAAAGACCTCATGGGCCCAATGGCCAAAAGTTTATAGATGAGAAGCTACAGCGTGTCAAATCGAAAATGTACGGCTATATAATGTTCCTGTTGAACGTGAATCCAGAACTTACATGAAAAAGCTTATTTCATTCTAGTTTCAATATAGCTTTTCCATTCAAGGATGTCTCTGGATTTGATCGTAAGCTGACCTTCATCCTGATCTGGTCGGAATGTGTGAATACCCACCGCTTGGTAGTATTTTTCCCTATTTGAACTTGAATTAACCTTAATGCTGATACGATTGGATAGAACAGACTCTAGATTCGGATTCAGTGACCCGAAAATATACGGATCTGTAGGTTTTCATCGCTAAGGAAGTATTGTTCTCGATTTGATCTTGAAATGACCTTCATCGCGAGCTGATCGTGTCGAGCAGACATCGGATTTGGATTCAGCAATCCAGAAAACATTTGGTTGTATGGATATTCACCACATTGGAAGTATTTTTCTGGATTTGGCCTTGAACTGACCTTGATGCTGATGCGACTGGATCGAATATACTCTGGATTTGGATTTAGTGACCCGAAAAACATATGTGTACATCACCAAAACCATTTCTGAATTCTCGTTCAACAGAAACATTATACAGCCGTACATTTTCGACTTTGACACGCTGTAGCTCCTCATCTATGATCTATCTATTGGCCATTGGGCCCATGGGGTCTTTTATTCTACGTGTCATAAGCTATCATCTCCGAAAGTTACAGAAAAATTGGCCGAGGGCCAGCTTCCATAAGAATTCTGCAGGGTCCTTTACGTTTCCGAGATTGTGCCACAATCGCGCTGTTCTGAAATCAAGTTTAAGTTTAGTCCAGTTTATTGTTGATGGAGATCATGGAAGAGATAGTTCTGTTTTTATTCTGTTCATATTTTTTTTTTCGGATTTCAAGCTAGATGTAATATAATGAGATTATCTCCTTATAGATTTAAATACTTCATAAGTTTTATTAAATCATTGGTATAATAATGAGTTTACAAAATGTGTATTGAACCAAATAATACTAAACATTTGTTATTCAAGGACTACATAGCCTAACAATTAGTTCTATTCCTATAAGTTCAGTTCAAATAAATAATGATGCAGCATAGTCTGTTTTCTTCCTGTAAAATATTACCAGTTAGTGAGAGTATTGCAGAAAATACTTCTTTTTCAAACCTCGTAATCAATTTTTAACACAAACCTAAAATTAGTTCTATTCATATAAGTTCAGTTCAAATAAATAATGATGCAGCATAGTGTGTCTTCGCCTGTAAAATATTACCTGTTAGTGAGAGTACTGCAGAAAATACTTCTTTTTCAAACCTCGTAATCAATTTCTAACACAAACCTAAAATGCGATGTAGCTATCGACTCGACAGTAATCAAAATCGCGAATAGAAGATAAAAAACAGTATTCATAAACCTTTTACTACCCTATAAAGATAATTATAGATTTTCGCAGAAGCTGGCGGTTAGATACATGCGGGGCTATTCTGTAAAATTCTCATCAGATCCGCGCGTAAAAATTTTAGAGTATAGCCCCGATGCTTGTTTTTACTCTTATTTTACAGTAGTTCGGAAATTTAATAAAAGCTGTGGTTTTATCTTGATCAAGAATATAATCAGACTATTTACTTACTATTTTACTTTTAAAACTATGATGCGTTGAATATCCCGAAGACGTCTGATCTTTTTTTATGATAGTGTAGGCTTCAGTAAATCAGATTTTTGAATATTTATCAAAACTCGCATTTTGCTATCGATAACACAAGATCAATGAAAATACATTCGCAATTTTGGTATAAAGACACAAATAAAAATGCGTGACGTTATTAAACATTTTTAAAGACTAAAGTTAAATACTATAGGTGTCCTGCGGTTTCAGCCGCTTTAATTTGAGGAAAAAGATTAATGTGGGTTATCCTTAAATGATAGATTTATGCTATCGCCGACTTTTTTATTAAACTTTTAAAGGGGCAAATTCTGTTATACATAACATTGTGTATCTTTTACCGCTAACGCAGCGCACGCAACGAAAGCTCTCAGATGGCATATTTTTTCCCGTTTTTGCAACATTTTTCATGAGTGTTCCGCTCTTATTTGTCGAAGCGTTATGTTATATAGCCTTCCTTGATATATGTACAATCCAACACAAAAATAATTATTCAAATCGGATCAGTAGTTGATGAGATTAGCGCGAATAACCACCAATTTCTTCAGCTTTATAATATTAAAAATATAATTTATTGATTACCTTTGTATATAAAATTCAAAACAATAATCACAAACCGAGACCTTATAAAAACAAAAAAAAAACAAGCAAGCTGTTTTTACACGATTCTTTGCTGAAGGTAAAAATTTCCTACCTCCAGCAGAAGGGGAGAACTTGACCTCATTGGTGACAGGGTTCTCCGAGGGCAGGTGGAAGAGGTTAACCCCTGAGGAGGCCATACTGCCAGGATCAGCCCAGGTCACGGACAGCCGGTCCACCGAAGGCTGCGGGGACACGGGCGCGTGTTCACAGGAGCCCTAACACCATGTAGTATCGTTACAATTTCAAAGACACATAATATTATGTAGATTTTCAATTGGAATGACAATTGAGCTACAAAGCTTATAATAAAATAAAACCTGATTGTTTACTTCCGACGTGTCATCCGAGAGTTCCTAATTTGAATCTAGATCGGTTAAAAGAAGAACAAGAAGAATATTTAAGCGTGTTATTTGTCATAATAGAATCTTGAGTGGAGTGATTAATATTTAGTTGTTAATAGTTATTTTAAAAATGATTGGGGGAATGCTAAGCATTAATGAAAGTAGTTTCACTCAGAATATTAAGAAGCCCTACAATACGTGATTGCAATTATAGCAATTTGTAAATTGCTCACAAACAAACCAAGCGATTTTAATTTAAACTAATGCTAATTAATTCCATTTTCATTATTCGAAATTCAACGACGTCTACCATTTTTACCACTTAACTGTACATGTCAGATTTTAATTTCACTATAGTGCTACGAGGGAGTGAAATGAAATGTTGGCCCGCGATGACAATTATGAATAATGTTGGCTAATTGTTGATTTTCACGTGAACATCGCTTGAGCAAACTTGTTAAATTAAAACATCGTAAAGAGTTTCAAAGCACTGATCATTCCTCTGATTAGAAAAAACTTTTTCCAAAATCAAATTGGTATTCAAAATTATAAATTTCTCTAACCCAATTCCAAATTCAAACTCGTTTGAGGAATACGGCACTTATTAGTTCGTCTTTTTTCAGTTTTAGACGCGATTGTTGAGTGTTGTGAACTGTAGGTCAGCGGTGGGACTGTGCTCATTGGCAATCGCCGTATTCGAGCAAAGCCCCGCGCAGACCGCCCATTAAATTCGAATATTTACGACTCCATTCAGTAGTTTTGCTTGTTTCCAATAAAGGGACTGTATCACGTGCTGTGTGACATTAGCTTTTGCAAGCTTCTGATGTGAGACATTTATGTCAGATAGCATTGTTATGTGGAGCTTTCATAGATCTGTTATTTATTGCTTTGAGTACGATATCTCTGTGATTTTTCGTAAATCAGATCACATAATATTTTGCCTTTATTTTTTGTTTGGAAAAGAAAAATAAATTAAGTATTTGTTCAACTGTTAACTATTTTAAAGAATAGAAGTGTATTATGATTTTGATATTGCTTACTCTTTTAGTAACTTAACATTGATAATTTTGTAAATAATATCCGATGTAAACAATAAACTTATATAAAATTTCATTTGCAGACCGATTCCTGTTTTGATTACGAAACAATTTATCTCATAGGTACTATTAACTCGTATATTTTTCCAAGCATTAAAATAAGTGTTTATTGTTTGTACTTTAGTGTAAGCGGAGCCTTATTATAGGAAATGAATATAGGAAAGCTTCTCATTTCAAGGTGCGGTGAGAAATATATCTCCAACTAATGTACTGGTGAACACATATTTGTTACGGTAGGTCAATTCGAATATAGTCATTGTTATTGAAAAACTTCCATTCCATTCAGAAAAATTACCTTTCTGTAAACGGAATCATGTGATTACATCGTTATAAAATATGATTTTCTTTAACTGCATTTTTGATACAAGATTCAAGGCATTTCGAAATTTGCAAAGCTTGATTCGAAAATTCAAGAAGGTATTTTTTTTCAGTATTCATGGTCTATTTCCTTCCCTTCATTAAATGTACAATATTTATATGTTCTATCTATCATCAGGTTTTTTTGTGATTATTTATTGAGCCAATAGTTAATCAGGTTTAAATTTTGTCGGCGAGTGTACTCAATGAAATATTATGGCAGACATCACGCGAAGTCATCGCCTCCCCGTCGGCAATGACGTTATTCTGACATACATTAAGCTCGGGTCTTAGAGAGGTCCTCAACTAAGTATCTATAACAATAAAAAATAATTTTACTCGTATATCTCATCAGCCTATTGACGTACCCATTGCTGAAGCACCGGCCATCTCTTTCGATATAGTACGGAGAATGGGCCATTATATCACTCAGCGGATTAGTGCGGATTGGTGGGTGCTATAGGTAGCGGCACACTCCTTGAGCAAAACGGACAAAACTCGCGTAAGACGTTTTAGGAGCCCTTTTACAAAATTGCGCCCCTGCCGTACTGATCGGCGCGTAGGTAGATTTGCACTATTATATATTGCATTTTACGGGTGACGTTTCGAGTCTTATAAAATAATTATTAATGAACTACTTATAAAAATATGTACATATTTCAGTAGATCAATGATAGTAGATTAGTTTTATGAAAGTTTTTGTTAGTATTTCTATTTAATTCACTATCAAAATACGAGGTAAGCCTGCATTATTTTTTGGGAAAACTCACGGAGGTTAGATATTTTTTGATAATGAATGAGATGGAAAATCAAAATTCTAATACATTATGTTACAACAAAAACATATTTCTGATGTCGTAATAATTTATTAGATCTAATTTATTAAACATTATTGAGAGATTGAGGCGTTTGAAGTTGTTCATATTATCGTTTTTTCCGTAAACTAGCTGCAGTAGAACGATTAGTACAAAAAAGGAAAATAGTATTTGCAAATATTCTACATAAACTTACAATAAGAAGAATAAATCTACTGTTAACTTCTATTGGAAATAGTCAAAATCTTTTCTAAGAGGGTAAACGAGGCGCTCAAAAATACATTTTTTTGCAAAATATGTGAAAGGGCTCTTAATATACACACATCAAAAGTGTCTAGGGATCAACATATATTTTTGCAATAACTTTTCTCCTGATTGATATTAATTAAAATTTTCTTTAAGGATTCATCAAATAAAGTGTTTTCGTTTGTCACAGTAACGATAAACCAAGTCACCTTTGCATTAATAAAGAAATTTGACATTTTCCTAATAAAGGGATTTTTGACATTTGAACCACTAACACAAAAGTTCGAAAAAAAGACTGAAATAACAGTTTTCTCTAAAATTTTATTGGGTAACTTAAACAATTAATAATCCGTATTTCTACCGCGAACACTAACAACACAAGAACATCGGTTTGGCATACTCAAAATGAGTTCATCCAAATCACGCTGTGGAATGGCCGCCCATGTTCGTTGCAACAACAAAAAAAGGTCTTCTTGCGACTGGATACCCTCCATATTCGGCAGAGCTCTTCTCTGTAGCATATCCCATGCATGCTCAATCGGGTTCAAGTCTGGCGACTGAGCAGGCCAGGGCAGGACATTGATGTTAGCTGCGGCGAGAGTCTGTCTTACAACTCTTGCGGTGTGCGGTCGTGCATTATCATGCATTAACTGAAATAAGGGACCGATTTGCACTTGTAGAGGAACGATGACGTCTGATACAATCGTCTCAGCATAAATTTGAGCGTTGAGGTTGCCTCTGATCCAAATCAACTCAGTTCTTCCGCCGATCCAAATACCCGCCCATACCATGATGGTTCCACCACTATAAGGATGGACTTCCTGGCAGGATTTTAATCGCTGTTGGCGTCCAGGGGTTCTCCAGTGTCGTATACGTCTTGTATCCGGTCTCATACCAAAACGAGACTCATCAGAAAAGCACACGAAACGCCATTGTTCTTCTGCCCAATTTCTGTGTTCAAGAGCCCATTGATATCGAATCCTACGATTGTGCATTGCTATAGGTGGTACCCGTAGCGGTCTTCGGGAATGAAGGTTCACTTCATGCAAGCGGTTTCTGACTGTTTGGTCGCTAATTAAGTTCCCTGAAGAGTGATGAAGCCTCACGGCTAACATCATGGCGGTTATTGTTGGAGCTCTTCGAGTTAAGATTTGAATGTATCGGTCTTGTCTCCGTGTGGTGCAGCGATACCGTCCTCCATGGCGCTCAGCCACGGTACCAGTGCTTCGGTATCGTGTCCAAAGTCGACTGATAACACTCTGACTTGTATTCAGAGCTAAAGCCACAGTACGTTGCCGGGAACCAGCTTCTATCATTCCCACGGCTCTGAGCATTTCTTCCCTGCTTAAATGACGTCGCCGCTCCATAATAACGTTGGTTTTAATCAGTAGTAGGGAAACAGTAGCACTAATAATGTCTTCAATGCGTTGTATGTTTTTATAGGGAAAATATTGACAGCTGATTTTCATCTTTTACTCGAATTTGATTCACAGTTCCTGATTCAAATTATGAAATGCACCAAAAAGGATCCATATAAATTTATAAAATCATAAATTTATTACAAAGCCACATCTCAATCTCAAGAAATCCGCATAAAAATGCTTGATCCCTAGACACTTTTGATGTGTGTATGTATAAAGTTGCTACTGCACAGGCTTTCTTGGCCTTCTGTGGTCGTTTCTCAATAAGATTGCCTTGGAAGTTTTAAAGAATTGATTGATTGATTGGAAGTAGGTATAACAGTGGTGCAGCTGAGACTAACAGAAATATACTGTCTCAAGCACAGAGGAGTGAGGAGTAGTTATAATAAAAATTAGGTTTAACGACTGGCCATTTCGAACGTTTCTTAACATCAAGCTCCTCAAAAGAAAAAAATATATAAAATTCTCGTGTCACGGTGTGCGTAATTGAACGGTTCCACCGATTTTTGTGAAATTTTATATTTTTGTATTTTTTTATGATACGTCATACAAACCTACATGTCGACCCTTCTACCACCATTTTTATGGCGATACGAAGTTCGCTGGGACAGCTAGTAGTATATAAAAATGTTGATAGAATGAAAATGTCGCAATATCTATGAGAGGGAGTAGGTAAATGTGGGTTGTTGTGGGTACCGCCACCCGTGTCGTGACCGCTAGCAGTAAGTCTTCTCCAATGAGCGGCGTATCGGCCTCTGATTAGCATTCCAGGGCTGATATTTTAAACACAGAATATTCTAGTTAAATTTTCTATGTCTATTGACAATATCATATTACATAGATCATTCCACTACGTTTGTTGTTTAAGTGATATACACTCAGAGGCCTCGCGGGGTGCAATGCTTCGACCTCACGTCACACACACCGCGGAACGTTGA